GAGAGAGAGAGAGAGAGAGAGAGAGAGAGAGAGAGAGAGAGAGAGAGAGAGAGAGAGAGAGATAAAATATGATACTACCTCCTATTTTTAATATATGTCGTTTTGAGAAGTTGCACATTAATTAAGAATATTTTCTTTGTCAATAATAACATTATTTAATGAATATAGAGATGAATTGTTTTGAAAAAAATGAAGAGGGAATATGAAAAGACGTGATGTAATTATTAGCTAAATGAGAGTAATAATGAAAAAACATGTACAATAGATCCAAAACGACATTTATTTGGTTAATAGTTGATAAAGCCAAAATGACATTTAAAAAAAAAATAGGAAGGAGTATTTTTTGTTAGGGTACAATGAAAGAGGCTAAGACCTGAAGAGATCGAATTACACACGCTCCGTGAGTAGGTAACACCAATGAGATTTTGTTCTAGCCACGATTAGGTAACACCAACGAGATCAAATATGATATTTGATACTATATATCTAGTGTTGATACATTGTCTAGGTACCTAATAGCTATTAACATTGACTTATCAGTTTAGGCATATATCATTTAGGCTAAAAATGGTCATTTATTTTTATTTTTAATTTTTTATATCATATTACTCATTCAAAATAGTTTCATATAATATATTTGTAGTTTGTCTTATATGATAACTTTAGGTCGTTTTGGTAAGTTTCAATTAGAATTAACTTGTAATTCAAATTTTATTTGTACAAATTACTATTCATGTCCAAAACATAATGAAAAACTACACCTATAGTACTTGAAATAGGAAAAAAATTTAAAATTAAAATCAAATAAATAGAAATGATTGAGTCGAATTAATTAAAAATAATTTAAAACTGAATGTTAGTTACAGAATTTATCATGCCTATTAATGAGTAAGGAAACCACCAAATAAGTAATGTTTCAGCAAAAAATATGCATGTGAGACTAATATTTTAAACACAAGAAGTTCTTCTGTATATATAAATAATAAAGATAATAAAATAATACTACTTTTGATAATATAATTGTTTTCATTTCAACATATTTTCTGGTGTAAGATTGGGATTGAAATTTGAAAAACGGCCATTTAAAATGTAGTAGCTATTATATTGATAGTCCTCCTATTTATTGACACAGTTGTTACCACAAGCCTTCATCTTTATGGACCGGACCGGACCACCTTTGAGAATCAATCAAATTAACCCATTATAATTGACTTTTCATAAAATTGTATCTAGTAGTAATTGTTATTGCACTTACCTAATGCTAGGGCTGCAAACGAGCCGAGCCGAGTCGAGCATTGGCCTTATCGAGCAGGATTGACTTTTTTTTTTTAGCTGCTCGAGCTCGAGCTCGAGCTCGTCAAGCTCGATTTGTTAGGCTCGAGCTCGACTCGATAAAAAATTTCAATAGCTCGAGCTCGGCTCGAGCTCGACTCGAAATCAAAATGCTCGAACTCGACTCGAGTTCGGCTCAAAAAATTGTAAGTAGAAAGGTAAAATTACCAATAAGGACCTATATTACCATATATATAAAGGGTATTTTAGTATTTTAACATGTATTCGAGCCGCTCGACGAGCCGCTCGACAAGACAAAATATGGGCTCGAGCTCGACTCGAGTTCGTGCGCCGCTCGAGCTCGACTCGAGTTCGGTCAAACTCGAGCTCGAGTCGAGCTTTGACTCGAGCGCTCGCGAGCCGCTCGGCTCGTTTGCAGCCCTACCTAATGCAACCACAGCGTGGCCCATATTTTTTTTTAGCCAGTTACGGTATCTGAAGTTATGTCCCGACTAATCCGTTGGTTGATCCGAGTCACATACCTAGCAATAGTGGGTGAGTCTCCCAACAAAAGTTTTTTTGCATCCACATTTTAACTAATTGGCGCGGCCCACATTTTAACTAACTAATGAGCCGAGACTTAAATTACACACACTAATGGAGGAGAGAGCCCAGTTAAAAATTTCACTGGTTGGATTTATATTCTTCATCATTTTGTGTATAACGCATCACTCTTTTTGATTCATTGAACCTTCCTCAATAAATAGAATGGCCCAAATATATGCGACTACAATAATAAGCAGAAATTAAAAGAACGACAATTTTTATGGCTCGCTTGTACAGAACGACTACTTACCAACGTGGAGCGGTTTCGACGCCACCTCTCTTCCGTCGAGGACTGTGATTATTGTGGCAACCGTGAAACG